AAGAAGAGAACAGTCCAACATGTCAGTAGCTATAGAAGGTAAGAAAGGCAAAAAAAGACATAGACGAAATCCAATACAATTTCATTTGCAAACACAAAGAGACGCAAGCGCAGAACAAATCACTCTGTATACATGAACAAAAGAGGAAAAGAAAGGCACTTACAGATTTCCGAATAAGAGCCATCTTTACGGGATTGTTCTTGATTCTTGCAAGAGCTTCCTGCTCTCGCTGCCTAATGAGAAGCAAAGGGTCAGAGTGAAGTTTCCTCCAAGAATCATTAGCAGATTGCGCCTTATCCTCAAAAAGCGCACCACGAACCGACTGATCTGGCTTCTCACCGGTACTAGAACCAGCTTCAGCTTTGGCTAAAGGCTGCTCTTCTTTCTGAAACGAAACACCATGACCTGAACTACTCGCACTCCCTTTCCCTACAGCTAATCCTGAATCATACAGAAACTCCAATCTCTCTTGCCTCCTGCAACAAAAATACAAGCAAATTATACGACTTTAGATCGACACACAACTTCAAATCACCGATTCCATCGCAATCATTGATCGAATCTGACACCAAATCATAAGAAACAAACTCTTATCCCTAACTCTAATTCTGAATTCAGATACAATCCAAGTCAAAATAAAATTATACAACTTTAGAACGACCCACAACTTCAAATCACCGATTCCATCGAAATCAATCAACGAATCAACTACCAACATATGCATCTTATAGATCCTACACTGAATTTTTTTACCCAATTCATAAGATACAAAATCTAATCCCTAACCCTAATTCCGAAATCAGATACAACCCAAATCAATTGACATCGAGMGTAGAGGATGAAGAAAGTACTTACGGAACGAGACCGGCTTGTTCCTGAAGAGCMCGAAACTCAGAACGTTCTCTTTCCTGCACGATCTGGAGACGAAGCTCCTCAAGCTTTTTCTGCTCAGCCTCTTGTTTCTGCTCAGCTTTCCATACGTTCTCGATGTTACGGAGACTACCCGTATGCCAACCCTTCTTGTTCAAAAATTTCATCCCCATGATTACTCCTCTTTTTTTTGCTTCTCCTTCCTCTTCGCTTCAAAAATTCGTTTTTTTTTCCTTCTTCTTTTCGTTTTCAATCGAGAAATCTCGCCGAGGGTTGTGTATTATTTTGCTCCGTCGACTAAAAACGCAGAAGCAGATGAAATCAGAACCGTCCGTTTTGAAATGCGTGATTAAATCTCATCGGTTAAGATTAGAAGATATTTAGGGCCTCTCGAAAAAATTAAACCAAAATCGTACTTAACACACAAGTCTAAAGCTAATTAGACCCGGTTTAGTCTAAAAGTCAGGTAAAATTTGTTGTTACTTGTTACTGAAATTTGTCCCTGAAATTTCCCAATATTCAAGAATCGTTTGTTCTGCTAAAATTTTGGGTATAACAATTGTCATTATAAGACAAATGGTGTATTTACAATTTCAAGTATATCCATAAAAAAAACCCGACTTTATGTGTCAAACCCAAAGCTAACAACTATGCTTAGTAGCGAGGGCAAAGATCATTAGACATTGTGTTGGACTGGAACAAAAGTTGTGTGTTTCTTTACGCTTCAAAGGTGAAGAAGTTAGTTTGCGATGCGCTTTACACTATGCGCCGATGTTTTCTCTTGTCCTCCTCATTCGTCTCTCCATCTTTATCCTTTCTCTTTCCTTTTACCTTTAAAGAAGAAATATCCACCAATAGGTCAGTGACTAAAGAAACGAAAAGGAAGGCGAAAGATCCAATACAATTTAAAATCGCAATCGCTCACAGAGACACCAGTAAGACAACGTGAAGTAAAGAAGAAAGGAACTACTTACAGATTTCTGAGCTTCCTGCTCGCGCTTCCTGATGAGAAGCAAAGGATCGGAGTGGGATTTCCGCCAAGAATCATTGGCAAAGTGTGTCTTATCGTCAAACAACGCACCAGGAAACGACTGATTCTGCTTCTTGTTATTGCTACTACCAACACCACCAGCATTAGCATTGGCTCGCTGATCTTGATTCTGAAAGGAAACACCATATCCTGGATCATACATAAACTCCAACCTCTCTGGCTTCCTCCTACAAGAAGAAACACACAAAACCACGATTTTATAACGACACACAAATTCTAATCACCGTCTCAATTACAATCATCATGCAAAATTTAACTCTCTAAGGGCACTAAACTACCACAAGCCCTAAGAGATATTCCCAATCACAAGATTCAAACAGTATCGCCTAATCCCAATTTCAATCATCATCGAAATTTCACTTCCAAGGTAATAAAACCAATCAACTAACACCGAATTTAAGATATTCTTCTGAATCACCAAACCCTAATTTCCAACTATATACACCAATCAAAGATAGAAATTAGAGATTAAGGTAGAGAATTAGAAGAAAACATACGGTGCGAGACCAGCTTGTTCCATGATCGAGTGAAACTCAGAACGTTCCTTCTCTTGCTGGATTTGAAGACGAA